CAAAATGAGAATTCAAATTATTTATCCATCTCAAAATATCAGAGTAATCACTGGTACATGTACATTGACTCACAGACAGATAATGTGAATTTTATATCGATCTTTGTAATAATTTATAATGTTTGTTTTAGGTGACTCTGTAAGAAGAACTGTGTATACAGTGTTTACAACCGTGTGTGGCCTAGGAATATGTCTTTTATTTCTTTTACGGAAACCAAGAGATCTGGTAAGAAATGAGTACAATGTCATAAAATTTTCATTTGAAAATAATTTGTATCACTTGTAAAATTATTAGGTAATGTAACGGAACTGCCACAAAATTGGTAAAACAGTCCATAATTTGTGTGAAAGAACTGTTAACTTGCTGGTGACTGTGTTCAGTGAAAAGCGCCATCACTCTGTACTTAACTTGAGTTGTACCTTTCTGTCATAGACATCACATGGAGATGAAAATGGAGACGAAGAGCTGAGTCAAAGTATCAGGTGAGCTGCTTGTCTTGCTATCTCATCTCTTCCAGCCAGTAGTTGTTGTTGTTTACAAGTAAACCTACCTGGTGCTTATACTGTAATTACTGGAACTCTACCATTAGCCAAACTGTAACAATGACTTATATAGTAATATATAATAATTATATTAATAATATATACATAATGTAGGGTTAATTTCACAAATTTTCAATGTACATGTACAGTTATTGTAGTAATTTCATGTCAACTGTCTTTTTTAATCTTAGACGGTCCAGTGGCACTACTGGAAGAAGAACTGCTTTAGAATCATTTAGTGAGTCAAAATCTTTATCTTTAATGATCTTTTTTATCTTATTTACCATAGATTAGGAATAATTGCCGGTTTTCATGTGACGTCATCATTTTCCAAAATCAGAAATTACCATGAATGAATCCCTCTGAAGTTTTAATTTCATCAGATGTAAGAACCTCTAATAACTTGACTTTTTGCAACATTTAAGCCCGACAGGGTTCCTCATTATGTAATAGACCATGTCTGAATTTCCAAGTTTATGCGTTGTGTGACATTAAAATGACAGTTATTGCTCAAGTTTTTGCTAACTGAACAATTCTTGCTCAAGAAGAAGTATTAATTTCAATGTGTTGGAGCTCTAGAGTAATAAATTTTTGTTTCAATGGCAAAACTCAATGACAGATGTTTCTGTTACTTTATGACCGCCATGCTTGTGTCCCTCCGAGGGGCAGAAACATGGTGACTCCATACAAAGTTCTATAAATTTGAGTGAAACACTTGTCCAAATAGCGTGTGAATGAAAAACCGCACAGACCTAAATCTTGGTGAGGTTGGTTATAATTATATCAATCATCTTTCATATCCCAGCTTCTTGAATTAATTTATTAAATGTTTGCGATTTTTATTTTTGATGGTGTGACACAGCAAACCAGCCATAGTTGTTAGTAAATAATAATTCCAAAAAAGAAGGAAAAAAAACTTAATTATAAGCAGATTATATGACATGGTAAGGAAGGATACCTAAGAAAATAAATCATGACAGTGACTAAAAAGAACTCTTAATTATTACTAGTTCTTTTGAGACAATAATGAAAACCAGAGTAAACTGTAACAATGGCTGGAAGGTATTTCAATGCTGGCTATCTCAAAGTTTTCCAAAAGTCACTTAAGGCTTATTCCAAGCACCCCTTCAATTTCTGCAAGGTACAATAATATTATGGCGTACTCTGACTTTGGCTGTGATTGTGTTTCCTGCTTCAATGTATGAATACTTCATATAATTTTTTCGGCTGTTACTTTTTTTTTCACAGAAATTGCTGTGAAGATATTTTTCACAAAGGACATGTTGTTGCTCAGCTTGTGTTTTGCATATACTGGTGGGTTGGCAGTTACTGCCCAAAACTGTTGTAAATAATTGTTGTAAATGGCACTATGCTGATTCAGCTTCGTACCAGGATTCTTCCAAATTGGAGTCCTGTACTGTAGTCATTGACTGTTTTACTAGTGAACTGTGGACAATCGGCAGCTGTGGATTACTATCCTTATGAAGACCTTATAGCCCGTATACATAATAATTGTTCTTATTCCAAACTAGTTTTATTCAGATCTCAGTATCCTTTGTCCGTGTAAATTATTATTATTTTTTTTTTTTGGCTTCTTGCAATTTTTTCCAGGTATTGAGCTTACTTTCTTCAGTGGTGTGTATGGCACATGTGTAGGTAAGTTGTCAGAGCAAACAGTGCAATACAGATTACTGGTCAGGATGAGAACTGATAATTTTTAATTCCCACTTCTTAGATCAAAAAGAAAAAAATTCAAACATTCTTGGTCCCAGGGTCTGTGATCCTTTTAGTCATCACCAAGAATCATAACCTCTTGGAGGACCATCAAACACAGGATGTCTGCGATTCTTGGATCTCCTATCAAATCTGATAAATCAGACAGATCTGATTGACTGAGAATTAATTTTGAAGTAAACACTCAGGTTCAGAAATTTGCTCTGGCCAGAGTCATGACTCTTGGTGCTGACTACAAGGATTGCAACCTCTGGGGATGAGAATGCAAGGCAAATAATCAGCACTGTGTGTAGTAACAAGAATTATGAGAATCGCAAGACTACAAAAAACCCATAATTTACTAGAATGGAGAATATTCTCATGCAAAACACATGTACCACCTGGGGCACAAAAGAAAACATACTGCTGACCAGTAAGAACTAGACCTTGCATGATTTAATGAGAATTTAACAGATCCACAGACACTATAATTTTACTTTATTCAGGCTCTTTTGAGGAAGAAAAATTCACAAAAATTTTCCACTTAGCATTTGGTAGTTTTTGACTAACCCATTCAATTTTAGTACTCATTAATAAATTAATAGTGATTTTTGTTATTAACTTGTTTGTAAGGCAATACAAAGAAGTTTGAACATTCTAAACGTCAAATTGGACTGGTAGGAATGTTTATTGGTTGTGGAGAGATTATTGGTTAGTGTCATAATCATGATTAGAGTTTGCTTTATTTTAATTAGTTTGTGTTAAATGAAAAAGATTGCAGCTACTCTAAATGAATATATGACAATCTTTTATGAAATTTATGTTTAATTTCCATACTATATGCCAATAATTATGCATTACACTATTTCCGATTGAACTTCAATCAGTTGCATGTGTTAAATGGAAGGACTGAACAAATATTAGATATTAATGAGTGAATGTATAAGTTTGAATGGTGAATGAGTGAACAAGGGAATGTATGAGTAAAGGAATAACTGAACAAATTAACAAACATTCAGACAAAAAACAAACAAACAAGCAAACTATTGAATGTAACAACTGCAACAAAATGATCAAAATACTGAATCAACAAATTTAATTTAAATGTAACTAGGTAACCACTGTGCTCAGTGACAATGTGAAGTATGTTGCAATTACAATTCAAAGGTTTTTGACTGACCAGTGTTATAGCCACCCTGGGGGCAAATAAAGTACTACTGACAGCACATAAGAAAAGGCTCTGCTTGCATTGCGTGTTACAGCATAATATAATTTTCATCGATAAATTTTAATACCTAGAGCATATTTTTACCTGCTGGAAAGCAGCAACATGAAGTGCCAAGATCTAAGTTTTCGGGATAATATTAATTATACATTGCGAACCAAGGTGCCCATTAACTTTCCAATGTTAACTGTTGCTGTTTATCTTATCATTATTTTTTGAGTTAAAGGTTGACTGTCTGGCTTAGAAGTGTAATACTGTTTTCCTGCAGGTGGCCTTCTGTTTGGTATTTTTGGTAAAAGAAGCAACAAATTTGGTAGAGATCCAATTGTATTGTTTGGAGCTGCTGTGCACTGGATATGCTTTCTGCTTATCTTTCTCAATATTCCTGATAACACTCCTAAAACTGCTACTACAGCTTCAGCTGGGTCTTATCATGTATTTTCTGAACCTAAGTGAGTACATAATGTTATGTCATTTAGTTTTTGTTGATCAAATATTGAGTTGAGGCTCATGTCAAAGACAAACTTTGTTGTTGTTTGGCTGGGATTGAAATAAATTTAGGTTGAAGTTAATAACTTGGGTTGATGATCTATTACATTAATTGTGAAAAGTTTCTTGCACATAGTTTACATGCACACTGTAAAACTATGTTTTTCATGTCACAACACGAACACACCTTTGTTTACTCTGTACTTCATGTGTACACATGTACATGTACATGTATGCGCACTGGTTTTTTGTATGCTGTGTCGCACTCATACTGAAAAAGGGCTAGTTAACGCCAACTATTTGACACTTTCAAGAGCTTTTTCGGCATTAGTTTATCCCAAATTTAGTTTGGGCTCCTGAGTCCATTAGTTACTTAGATTTACATGAACAAAAAAAAACAAATTACATTGCACAACGATTTAGAATTTTTAAAATTATTTTATTTTTAAAACATAAATGAGCGAATATTAAAGTTAACAGCTGACATTTTGATGTCATCATGACACCATTCTCAAGGCAAAGTGAATAAATAAACAAACAATATACAAAAGCTCAAACCATCTCTAAACATGTAAACAGACTTGATTCGTCAAAGGTATTCACTTGAAGAACTTGTGAGCCTTCGTTATTATGCTAATTTGTAGAGACTGTAAAAGTGAATCAAATCTTTGCGTTAATTTAATTTATACACTTTGCCTTGAGAATGGTGTCATGATGTGCTGAAGCGTCGGCTGTTAACTTTAATATTCGTTTGTTGATGTTTTAAGAAGTCATTATTGATCAAGAATTGATTACTTAATTAAAACATGTTTGATGATATTTGTTTGTGTCGGTCATCTGCAGTTTGCAAGTTGCTATGCTTTGTGGTTTTCTGTTGGGCCTAGGCGACAGCAGCTTTAACACACAGGTACATCTAATTGTATCCATGTATTATTGATTATTGATTATTGATAATAATTCTGTATTAACAGTCTGTAAAACATCAACTCAGAAGAATAAAATTAATGTGAAAATTGCTGTTAATCAGCTAGTATTCCATTTATTCTATATCCATGTGTAATCTAGTTTTTGTATTGTCAGAAATTTAATTGTGGATAAAGGGGAACCTAGACATCTTATGATCACACCATTAAGACAACCATGTCATTATTATGGCCACTTTTTTCAGTCCAAAGAGAATGCTTAGTCAGTCCTTTTCTTCTCTTTGGAGCCTCTTTAATTAACCACAATTTTGTGGCTAAAGTCGATTGTATTTAGTGAAATTCTACTGCTATTTTCTTCCCAGATATACTCCATTTTAGGTTCACTGTATGGAGATGACAGTGCCCCAGCTTTTGCATTGTTCAAATTTGTACAGGTTTGTTTATGCCTTCTGTTGTCAGCATGTTCATTGTGTTGTGTGTTGTTGTTCTTCACAACCATCAGATTACGAGCCAGAACAATATCTAATCTTCCTTGGCAGGCACTATACTGGTGTATGCTATGTTTTAAATATTTTTTGCCTTTTGGTTAACAGGCAATGTTCAACTTGGGAGATGATTTTTTGCATATTGAAATTTTGTGAATTATCTTCAAAAAGTTTGTTCTAAAATGTTTGAAATTACAGCGATATCCTTGAAGAAAAGACAAGCATTTACACCACCATTGACCTGATAATATTAGAAATAATGATTAAAAGATCTCCTGCACATGGTACATTTAGTGATAAAAAGCTAATAATTATTAAGTAGTCATTAGAAGCTGCATGCATGAATAACCTGAAATACCTTTTAGACATATTTGCAGCTTAATCTTTTGTTATTTTGTTTTTTACAGTCCCTTACTGCGGCAATTGCATTCTTCTACAGCCTAAAGCTTGTCCTCAAATGGCAGCTTCTTATTTTAGTGAGTTATAGCATCATTACATGTATTAATAGTTATAATTACAATGAAAGTCTTATGAAGAGAATACATTAGACTGTGATGTGCCGCACTTTCCATACGAGGAGTCATCCCTTGTTGATAGGTTTGATTCACTTGTAGTAAGCTGGCCTATTTTGTTGGTATGGAAGACTCAGTACTGTGGGTGTTTCACTTATGGTCAGGTATTGCATAATGAAGAAAAACATCCTTTTGCCCCATGTTACCTCCTGCATACATGCACTAATGTAGCTGACTTTATGTGAGGGTAGACTGTGTGATCGGCCAAAGATCTGTGTACTTTAAGGATGTATGCCAACAATGTCAACACCTTTAATCTATCATAGGGCAGAAGAACATCAAAACAAAAATGACAGTTTAAATTAAGAGATGTTATTCTGTGGTTCAGTTTCTTCTACACTTCATAAATTTGCCACTTCAATGATGCAAATTACTCTCAAGATGTCCCAAATCATGTTAAAACTCAGGTATATCAATTTTTTTCTTAGCATGCTTAAATTTAAAGGACACAGGTCCCCTGAGAAGGCATTCTTGTACATTGATGTCTCACTAGAAAGGATTGCAACATCAATGCATATGATTCTGTTTTGCAGGTTATTTCTTCGTTCTTTGGTACAATTGGATTTTTCCTTGTGGAGTGGAAAGTAAGACGAACTGCTAGGCAGGGATATCTTCCTATTGCAAGTTAATATCCCTTTAAAAATATAGTAAATATATATTTTACCTACCAGGTGAAACTGTGTTGTTACACCTCTCAACTCAAATACGTTTCCCTAGACACATGTTACATATCTAGGGCAAACAAAACTCACTAGCTCCCTAGGGAAACAATAAGTTGAACTTTTGACTTCCACATGATCAGGTTGTGCTCCTTGAAACCGCAGTAAATTTTGGAGCCAGGCAGCATCAAGCAAACAATTTCTTTGCAATTTTTCTTCTATTTTTGAGTTTGGAGATGTAACAAAACACTTAATGACTGGCCCCATGGGAAACTGTTTCCCCTGGGGCCAGTCATTAAGTGCTTATAGTTTCACAAGTGAGGACATCATTAATTTTTGAATTCATACTTGCAGAGTTTGCCATAAGCAAATATTACATTAAAGGAGTCCAGTCACTGTATTTTGAGTTATTTTGGCCATGTACAAAATTACCTTTAAATGAAAGGAAACCTGAAAATAGTAGTTTACTAAGATAGAAAAACACCAAAGAGATGAGAATAAACCATAATGGAACAAGGATGGTTAATATGAGGAAGATCACACTGATTGCAAATAACAGACTTGAAAAATTTAGGTTAAGCTTTTCAAGATGTGTGGTGGCAACGTAGCTCCTTTGAGTTTGTTATTCCTTTAAAAATGAAAGTGCTCCTAAACTTCAGTGGGGGTGTTTAGGGGGGGGGGGGTGGGGTGAGGTGACTAAATTTGTCTGTGGCATTGGTAAGTAATTTAGGAAAATGGCTTTCATTTTGCGTAAAAGATTTTGAAAACAGGAGAACAGTGTAGATTAAGGAAGAAATCATTTTCCATGTATTAAGGGCAAAAAGGACCTCTCAGGAAGCTGCAGTTTTCACAAAGCACATGCATGGAATTATTTCCTATGTACATAGTAAGAGGTCAAAGTACACTACACTGTACGTGCATAAAATCTTGTTCCAATGCCTTTGCTTTGGTTTGCTATTGATTTGTATATATGGTCAAAGAAATTTATAATTGGTTCATTACAGTGAGGCTACTCTGACCAAGGCTGCCCGACAAAATTCTCTACAAATTTAACAAACAATTAAACAATAATTATTGGATGAGGTTTTTGTGATATCCAGAATAATCAAGGTCGCATTAGAGGTTATCAGCCGCAGCTGAAGGCTGAGGCTGATAACCCTTACGGAGACCTTATTGGATATCACAAAAACCTCCTCCAATAATTGTTTTATTATACATTACATAAAAAAAAATGGAAGTCATGTTTTTGCTTCTTCACTGATGGCAAGCATCACAAGTGCACAAACTTGATGTGATTATCCTTAGAAATCATGTACCGGGGTCACATGTGATGTGATTACCCGTGACCTTGGGTGTCCTTGACATGATTATTGTATAATGTGCAACTAGATGATGTCACCTGCACTGATTTCCAAAATTTGCTTTCGGTCAGTCAGAGAAGAGATAGTGAGTTCTATGTATAATAATCCATGTAATCAAGCTGTATTTGCAACAGATTTGTGGTCATTTTGATTACTAACTATTTCAAACTTTGAAAATGCCAGTGAATTCGCTTGAGAGGCCGTGGTCGGAGTAGTCACATTGTAATAATTTTTGACAAAATGCAATATTTTTCAAGGCTTACTACTAATTTTAAAAAGAACAATTTCATGTACGGTTTCAATTATCTAGTGTTCTTTCGATACTATATATGGGTTATTGACAAAGTGTGAGGTCCAGATAGCTGGATATTGGCCAAGTTCTTTTTTTGCGTGTTTATATACCAAGACAGAGTCAAGGTCCATAAACACGCAAAAAAGGAATGAGGCCAATATCAAGCCATCTCGACCGAACAAGCTTGGTCAATAAAGGATTTATTTATGGCTTTTGAGGAAATTTTTCTTGTGGGACACGGCGGGTAGTCCCAAGCAGGCAAATAGCTCCATCTTGCCCACTCGGGTGGCCAATCACAGAGCAGGATTTGGTTGATCTTGTCTGCTCACGGAGCTAGCCATATAATAAATACATGTACTGAAGTATATACCATAGTTTACTCAGAAGAACACTAGATTATCCAATATGCTACAGAATGACAATGTTCGATGCTTAGTGTCAATTATTATTTAATTTGTATTGCCCTGTTGTCACTGTAGAAATTCTCCTTGCTGGTTTCATTAAATTTCATGTAAGTTTCTATTAATTTAAGACTGCCATTTTTTTGTGGGGTATTCTGTATTTTTGATTGTCTTTGTAGTAAATTATTGAGGATAAATTATGTACTTATGAATGACTGCTTTTTGGGCTAAGGGCAGTTTTCAGTTGATTGTTGTAAAACCAAAACCAATTGAAAGTAATCACTCTGGTCAAGACACAGACACAGACTGACAATCTTATGAACCAGTACAAGGTCATAGTAAAGAGGGTGGCAAAGGGGTGGGGGGAAGGGTACCAATCATGCATCACACTGAATTTTTCTATTAAATCACGCTTCACAGAGAATTTTTTCACCAATCACACGTCACATAAAAAGAATTGAGTACATCACAAATTTTACTTTCTCGTCCCTAAAAACGTCGTTGAAAGTAGAACTCACTGATTCGACCACAGAAATCCATCAGCAAATATTCCAAACATTTTCCCTTGAAAATGACAATTTATTATTGGACAGTGCTAGTGTTTTAAGTCAACTGCTTTGTGTAGTAATGTGAATTACTACACTGCACGAAATACTTTACTACAGACGGCACTTTTGGGTTACCAGTGTTTTTCAAGCACTGGTCAGGGTCATTGTATTGTGTTTTTGAGTAAGATTATGTGCTCTCGCCAGATCCATCTCCATCTCCATACAGAGGGGCAATGAAACTCCATCTTTTTGCACTGGGAATGTTGTGACACACCGATACCATAGTTAGGCCACAAAAAGGCTGCTTTTGTAACAATAAAGCACCAAAAGGCAAAGGCATTGTTTCACTCACAGCAACAAAAGTGATGCACCACTATAAGAAAGGTCAAAGTGAACCTTTCCCCAGTCTTCCTCAGGCAAAAGCTTTTAGGTCAATTTGATCCACTTCTGATCTTGATGAATCTGTAAGCTTGGTCAAGAGATTTACTACATGACTGAAAATGTTTTTCAAAGAAAAAAATAGGAGCATAGGAGCTAACTTGGAGTATACTTATTTCTGATGTTAAACAAAACAAAAGGGAAAGAGTTGGAAGAAAAAGAAAAGGAATCTTTTATGTGAAACAGGTTCTTCCAGAAACATAAACCACAAAACTACCAGAAAATCTCAAGAGGGATCATGTTGGATAATTCAGGACGGTGCCTGATCCAATACTTAGAGAATAGTGGACGGGCAATGGAGTAATCTGATTGGTTAATTTTAGCTACAGTAAAAACCTGCATATAAGAACCCAGATTTAATTTCCAACCTAGCCTAAATAGGTTCTTATAGAAATGTTGGAATTTTAGGCTACCTAGGTTCTTAAATAGGTTCTTCATTTGATAAGGGCACTAGCAATTGGCACAGATAACTACTACAGGGCCTATGTGATATGGAATAAGCATAGTGCTGTATTAAATAACCAGTATTGGCAAAGACATGATATGGTTTTCATTTTAGTTCATTCTTTGAATCTTTCTGACTGAAACCTAGACTAAAATTTTTTCTGTATTTTCATCTGTGCCTTCATTTTTATAAAATAAGAATTTATTGAAAATTTTAGGCTAAATAAGTTCTTATGAGAAGGGGGTTTAAAATGAAAATTTTAGCCTAACAGGTTCTTAAAGTTTAGGTTCTTATATAAGGGTTTTTACTGTATTAGCCCTCTGAACTAACTTCGTCATGTAGTAAATTACCATACAGCTGAACAAAGGAAGATATCAAATTGTACAAGGGTAAAATTAAACTGCAACATAAACAGCTTTGCAGAGGCAGATCATGATGTCACTGAAAATTAGAATAATTATTCCAAATAACAATGATAAAAATTTCACTACAAACTCTGTGTAGTCTGCTATAACTTCTAATGCAATTAATGTGATGGCCTAAAATGCAGAGGTGAAAAAGCTGATGGGAATTACATTCTTTGCACAACCCAGTCACATTGCAAAGCCAGCCATACTGGGATGCAAGTTACACTGGGATTTCCAAAACAAAGCACACTTTCCACTGTGCATGGAAGTCCCACTTATACCATGGGACAAGGTCGTGCAAAGGGCCTATTGATTTACAATAAATAAATATTCATAAAGCAGCCAAAATAAAAACTAAAAATGTGTAAGGCTTCCCTTTTCTCTCTCCTCTTTTATCCCCAACCCTTCCCCGCCTAAAAAGCCAGCTACTCGGATTAAATTAATCCAAAACCAAACATTAAACATAAGAGTCTTGATCGCTCAACGATAAAATTCTAAAACGTGTGCACTGTTCTCAGGGCATTCATAATCTCTTAGAAGGGTCGTAGACCTCCCATAATCTTTCAAACTCTTCTGAAAAAGCTTCCACTACTTCTTTATCGCTTGAAATCACCACGTTCTCCCGATTTCCAGTCACTGCCTGCCTAGTCCAGTTGAAAGAGCCGTTAACGAGACGTTTGCGGTCAATGACAACAAACTTGTGATGCATGAAGAATGAGGAGAGATCGTGGCGTACTTGAATCCCTTCACGTCTAAACTTCTCAATCTGTGAGCCAGTTGAACCCATCTGTTCATCGTCTGTTAACACTCTGACTACAACACCACTCTTATGAAGCTGAATAGTGGCGTCTGCTAGTTCGCGACAGTTGATGGTAAACACGCAAACGTCCAGGCTTTCCTTAGCTTCTAAGAGCACTCTTACTAACTTACTTAGAGACGTTTCTTCGTGTGCAAACTGGCAGTTCTTTCGGTTGCAGCCTCCTTCGAAGATAAACTGCTTGCACGCAAGCATTTTGTCTGGGAAGAACAGTACTTGCGAGGTAGATTGATCATTTAACGTCTTTTCCGGAACCGATTCAATGGAATCTTTCACGCTTTTGATAAAAACATAAGTCGTATGGGCTAGGACTCCAATAAGCCAGGATATCCGAAGTACCCTTGGAAAATCGAAGCTTGCAAGAGAAGGCAAGACAGCAGCCATACTTGTTTTCTTGTTTTTCTCTTCGTGTAATTTATTACATCGAGTCTACATGATTTTTATCGTCCCCAGATCCACCTGTCCCTCTTTGCCAGCAGGGCCTTGGCACGAGGAAAAGGTGACTCTGGAAATACAGGCTTACTAGGCTTAAGCGCTTCGCTGATAGACCAATTTCGATACATTAAAATTCAGGGCTCTGGGGAATAAACCCCACAAACTCTAGTTATTCCCCAGAGCCTCGTACTAAGGTCTACTGTTTTAGGCTAAATTTTAATGTATCGAGATTGGTCTATTCAATGCTGGTTTCATAACCAAAAATATCCACTGGTTGATCTGCTCGATCACCGCAAGGGACAGGAAGTATAAACAAGCTTCCGAGAGACTTTTCAGTGCAGTCCTCCATGAACAAGACACAAATGCTTCTTCCCACCAGAATCACTTCTGTTTCTTTGGGGGCTGAAATTGAACGGTTTTAGTCAGAAATAAACCAATGGATATTTTCGGGAATGAAACTGTCGAAATCTGGCTTTAACTGGATTCTAACCCGTGATCCCTGCGATACCGGTGCAGTGTTGTACCAACTGAGCTTTCAAGCCTACAGGGAGCTGGTCTCGTTGTGGGTTGGCTCCCAGTTGGCTTGATAGCTAGGAAACACATGGATGATAATTCCACAAGTTAAATCTAACAGTTGTTGTAAAATTTCGAGCAGGAACACTCTGGCCAGTTACAAAGGACACAGAAAATCCAGTTGATCAAGCAGTTTCTGAAGTAAATTACACACTGACATGTTTATTGTTCGTAAAATAACACTTGATTTCATTTCACTGAAAAGTACCACATTCATCGATGAATAACCCGCTTAACCTTCGCTACATGAACAAGTGGCTAGTATTGGACAAGCTTGGTCATGGAAATTGACGACAATTTAGCTCTGGATGTTGTCCCTTTTTTCGGAAAATGTAGCGAGGCTTGAATGCTGTTCCACTCGCCACGGAAAATTTCCGCAAATGTTTACCGGAGTTTTCGGGAAAACCGGAACAAAAATAGTCCATGCATCTAAGATAAAACCACTCTCCATTCATACCGCGTAAAATTTCCGCAAATGTTTACCGGAGTTTTCGGGAAAACCGGAACAAAAATAGTCCATGCGTCTAAGATAAAACCACTCTTCATTCATACCGCGTAACAACTGTAAACAATGGCCCCGCCCTCCACCCCTGCTGGGTCTAAATGGACCTAGGAAAAGGAAGAATATAACTTTTCGAAACTTGTTTGTGTTTTTACGATAACGTACATTTTTAATCAGTTCCAGGAAATGCGCAGATACCAGCCAAGCCACACTAAACTTCCTCTGCCAAAGACAGAAGGATATGGATGGTAAACAAGTCTCAACGGCTAAGTGGAGTTGGGACATCCTCAGATACTTTGGTGATTCAAAACTTATCCAATGACTAAAACACCACCGTTTGTGAACGTTAGTTTTATTGAGACGGACGGATAGCACAGATAATATTGTTACAACCTAAAGCTTACAAACAAAAAATAATAATCTTAAACGTTTGGCACACGAATTACAAGATTTCTTGATGGCAATCAAAGAAAATGGCATTGAGCATTTTCTTTGGTGCATCAATGGCTGACCATCGTTGTAAAGACGAGCCTGACAGATATATTTTCTTTTAAGATTTAGGGGTTTACTTATTTAATTCTGAAACTTAACTGTGTGACCCGCGTGTAAATATGGGTTAAATTACCACAGAATATACTACTCATACAATGGAACCATTAAAAACTATTAACAGGAAGAAAAAGTCAGCCAACGAGAAAACACAAAACTAAAATATTACACTATAGAGAGAGTAATATATCTTCTTAGCTGTATTACACATAGGACTTCACTCGCAAAGGTAAAGAGTTTCAGTGCTGGAAACAAAGATCAATACCTCAAAGTTGAAGTTTCTAAATTATTTCAGACAAAAAAATATGATTATTTTAAACCAGGTAGTTACTTTTGTGTGGATAAAGAAAAATTGTCTCAAAGTTCGTCGTGTCAGCTTACCAGGTATTACTTTATTCCTTTGGACATTCATTCCGGAGAGGAGCTGCTCACGAACAGATTAACTCTTAAACTCCATAATCTCAGTGTGCTTTATTCAAAATCAGGGAAAAGTCAGTCTTGAAATTTGCTCCCAATCCCCACCTGCATTCAAGGTAGAATGCTAAAAACAGAAAATACATACACTGTAAATTCCATGAAGACAAGCTCTCTATAGTTCCTTAGTGCTTCTATCCTCGGTAGATACGTTTCAAACGTTCAAATTTTCTCAATGTGCTCCTTTTAAATTGCAGTCATTTCCCACTACTTTAAACCTTTCTATCATTTCCACCTCCATTCCTTTCCACCAGTTCCAACAACTCCAATTAATTCTGTTTTCTCATTCGTTTATGGCATACTAGACTTCTCAATGTCCCTTTCCACCTCAGTCGTTTCTTCATTCCAGCGATATTCGCGTTTAGTCACCAGTCTGTCAATTCCTCGTCGTCACCTATTTTTCACTTTATTTCTGCTTCATATTCTCTTGTTCCTCGCCATTTCTCCGAACCAATAACAGTTAGTGTGAAAGTCGAGCCTTTTATCGAACAAACAACTGAACGAAAGCCGCAACACACCTTGGTTTGCAACTTGTTCCAAAGATTGCACTTACGCCGAATCACATCACAGTCTGTTATTCCAATGCATTTACACTGCTTACATAACAGCCGATAAAAATGTTCAAGTTTCTCATGCCTCCTTTTCCCACATCTGCGTTGAAATGCTTTTCCTCAAGGGGTCTTGTTGTGTTGATCTCAACATTACTATCTCATATGTGTCCAGCAATCTGATCCTTTGTACTTGGAAAACGAACACGCCCTGTAAACGTAAGACCACAAAGGACTCGTTATCCAGTTTTCGTTCGCGATTAGTCTCTCCTCTTCGGTCAGCGTCACCGTTGTCTGAAATCACTCGTACAAAATGGGAGAAACCATTCTCTCTTCCATGCGATTATTTAAAAAGCTCTCGCTTGAATTTTTTCATCTGTAACCATGTAAGCAATCGCTCCAGTGAGCTCCAGTGTGGTCTAACCTTTTCGTCTATTGCCGGCATCTCTTTTTTTAACCATCTTGATCTGTTGACAACACGTTATTTCCTTTCTTGTAAGTAGCGTAATGCCAAGGCGTCCGTCAAACAGATCATGACATACGCACTTCTTTAGAAAGCCATCAAAAACGGTTCTGTACGCGAGGCAAAGTGGAAACTGAGTGAAGCTCATGTCGTTGCATCAACTTATACAACACAACTTATATGATACACTAGCATAAAAAGTAGTTAAAAAACTATGCACTAAAACAAAATTATATATTTTATCGACAGCACGATTCCAAATGACAATTTCGAAGCTTTCTTTTACATTTTAGGGCTGCCTTATGTCTTCTTCGGCACAAGCTGCAAAACGTGGTAAAGTTCATTTATTCCATATTCTATCAGCTATTTTTTTATACACCAAACAAAATGAAATTCTTGCGCTGCTGACGCCAATACTGCTACTTCTATTTCAGCATAAAAAACAGTAAACTACGAAATTCAGTTAAGATTCTGTAATGCAACAACTCTCTTCATCCTTGTCGCTTGTGACAATGAAATGCAACCTTACTGTCATGCATCATTCTTTCACGTTAAGCGTCGCTCACTTGTGTTGTTTTTGGCACCCGCTGAAGAACCAAAGTGACGAGATTCTCCGCCACAATACGCCAAATGGTATCGAGAGCAGTCATCTGCTTTGTGGTAATTTTTTTCCAGGAGTATGTCAAGCATTTTTTAACGAGCGATGCAAAATAACTTCGTGTGCTGTTCAGAGCACAACCAAAATTTATCAAACAGCTTTGACCGGCCGTTAGTAGTCTTTAAACCTATTTCCTTTCTATCAAGGTTGTGTTGCCACGTCCAGCATCAAATGTGTCGCCGGGTGTCAAGCCAAGTAATATCTTCTAATGTTCCCTTGTCCAAGTTCGGTCAGCACTGTTTCGCAAATCGTGTGCTGCTTACACTGTTCTCTTGTGCTTCCTCACGTCATTACTTCACGTTATGTTTCAAACTAAACTTTTACTCCGCAAAGGGGAAAAAAATCCCTTCTTCAACTGCCTCTTTTAACATGAAAGCGACTCATTATCCAACCCTTCTTAGTTCGCAGCTGTAAGAGCAGATATTTCACACAAGCGCTATCATTCAGTTAGAATATGTGCGAGCCTCTTGCTCGTGATTTTCCTAGTTCTTACATGCAACTCGAGTCTTTTAGCCTTTTCACCTGCTTCTTGCATATCAAGTTGTCGAGTGACTTTCAAAACACTCTAACACGTTTTGCCGCAAGGTGGCTGGAGAAGTTATCTCTGGAAATGATATAATATTACCTACTTTCTATAAACTCTAACGATGTTCACGCCTTTTCTCCACTTTATATTTCAACAATTAAAAAGTTGAACTAAATTTTACTCTGCAAAGAAAGAAAAATCCCTTCTTTAAACAACAAGAATAATATTTTTAAACCTTCTTAGTTCGCCACTGCAAAAGCACTCATTATCCAAAAATTACTATCCTCAACAAAAATCTGTACAAGCTCCTCGCTCGTGATTCTTCCTTCCAAGGTGCGTGTTCACAGCAAACGTCCGCAAGACTCATCCAAATTGAAAAACCAGGTTTTACACTTGTTGCACACAAACGTATCAAGTTCATCTTCTCGATAACACATATGCCGTCCTGTCTAATCTTACGTCCAGCTTTTAGAAATCCAAAGCAGACTTCGTGCCCCTCGTCAATCAAATCCATTTTTCGTCCAGCATCTCAAATCTACCAGTCACGTGAGTACTTTCCTTGAAAAGAACAAGGAGCCACGCATGCTTGAAACAACACAAACACAAAACGCCACAAATACTGACACGTCACCATCCTTCATGTACACAGAAAGGACTGGAACTACGCCACTGATGACGTCAATGGACCGTTCCATGGCGTCCAATCAAACTGAAGGATCTTCCCGCCAACCAGTTGACGGGCTCAAAAGAAAAATAATGAGGCTACCATTCCCTGGAGGGATGGTGGCTGACAAGTAAGAGAAAACTAACAGAGAAACACAACGAAAGCACGCGTGGCAAGTGAAAAAGATTAAGATTGCATTATGAGAACTTGCATTCTGTTTTAGCCGTCTTTGTACCCTGGAAACTGTCTTTTCCCTGATTTCAAAAGTGTGAAAATTTGGTAAAAGGTTAATGTAAACACTTGAATACGTGAAAAAAATAACACCGTTTATACAGGTCGAGAATGACAACAACTGCAGCTCAGATTTTTTTTTTGTTTTTTAGTTTAGCAACAGCTCTCCCACCGGGATGAATATCCAAGAAAATGTTCACCACAGTAGCAACAACAGCTCTGAAAGTACTACTGTACAAGTGAACAAGTATAATAAACCCCAAGTCTGAAGACATACATATGTTTAGCGAAGAGGAAGAGATGTTTCATTTGTGATGATTCACTGCTCCATACCTAACCGTCCGCTCACACAAAGTAGCAGAACTTTGCTTCACATTAAACCACATTAGCGATCTCTTGGTAAAACATACCTTACTATAACAGGAACTAAATTAATTTAATATCCAACCATGCCATTCCTTTTGGACTTTTTAGGAAATCAAGTAAATTGAACTACTTAACTCAAGCACTTTTCTTCGGACCAAAATTTGTACCAATTTTAGTTAAAGGACCCCTTAAAGAAGTTGTTGCGAAAAGTGCAATCGAAAAATGAAAATAAATGAGCCCGTAATGCTGTGCATTTAAACCTTTTACAGTCAGAGAGAAAACCTGAGTCAACTATGTGGAGATTTGGGAGTATTACGTGTGACCTCTTGAGCAGTTCTTTCATGTGGCACTGCTTGTTTTTTCGTGACTTCTAACGTGAATTTTGAGAGAATTTGGAAATTCGGCACCCTTACAGTGGGAAGGTTAATAACCTGCATGAGAAAATAAACGTTCAATTGTAAACGAACATCACCAGTTGAAGAGAACCATGCGATTAGGTTAGTTCACTTACATAAATAAAGGCAACATAGCAAATAAACTGCATCAAAAGCCAACGCACTAAATTGATGACACGCTTTCAGACTTCCTCCACATAGTTAACTCACACTCGACTGATGCGAGAAGGACCCTTGCCACTGCAAAACGTTCTGAGATTGACTTTTAGAACCTTTTTGAAAACCTTCCGATGGGTTCCGTTGGTTTAGACCATTCAAAATTTAAAGGACCTCAGTCACGGTGGTTTGAGTTGTTTTGGCCACGTACCAAATCTCCTTTAAATGGAAAGAAACCTGAAAATAATAGTTTACTAAGATAGAAAAACATCAAAGAGATAATACTAAACCATAGAGGAACAAGGATGGTCAAGGATGGCGAAGATTGACACGGATTGCAAGCAACGAATTTGAAAAATTTAGGCTAAACTTTCAAGATGTGCAAACCGTGACTGAGCTCCTTCAAGATGTCGTGCGAGTGAAATAACCAATCTGGATTTTTCGCCNAGAAATCCCGTGCCGTGAAACTCAAATTGAAATATATCTAGATCCATTTGGTGTTCAACTTTAAATTCATTGTATCCTGCTCGCAGAAAACCAGTTAGGATAAGAACACAATTCCAGCAGCAGATACGTAAGCTTTTTCAACTACAAAAATTGAGATTTGCGTTTAAAGTCTGTTTGGGTTAGTCGTTCGTCCAGTAAGGGACCGGACGACGAGAGCGCTTTCAAGGAGGATATTGCTATTTAAAGTAGAGGGGAGGAGGGCGGGGGATACACATATCACTGGCCGCCATTTTGGAGGGGATACACATATCACTAGTGATATGTGTGCGGGGATACACATATCAC